CATTATTTCAATGTCGTGTAAGTTCAAAAAATCGGTTAACGAAACATAGAGTTAGTTCTGGAAAAAAAGAAAAATAACAGTAAAAATTACTTTCTAGCACGCGAAAATGAAGAAGAGGAAGAAGAAGAAGAAGAAGAAGAAGAGGAAGAGGAAGAAAAAGAAGACAATGACATTTACGACTACGAGGACGCCGGTGATATCATCGATGAGGCGAACGAACATGTTGCCAATGATACCGGCGACGAGGAAATCGATGATATAGTTGACGAAATTCAGGAGACACAGGACGTGACGCAGGAAGTCGAAGAAGAGGAGGGCGATAATTACGTCGAAGGTAATAATATTTTATTGTTTACTTTTAACCCGTTGTTTCGAGAAATTTTTCTTAAACGTATATTTTTTCTATTAAAAGTTTCCTACTCACCGGTTTTACCGCAGTCGCAGGAATATTAGAGAGACTTCTCGAGCGACAAAATATCCCCGGCTCACGATCATATGAAGCAGCTAAAGGTGAGTTACCTTACTTTTCTGTTACATTATGACACGTGGGGGAGGGGGATAAACTTTAGGCATAATATAGCAAAGTCAACGAAATTTTAATAAAGATTTTGTTTAACTTTTCAGTACAAATTGATGCTGTCCAGTCTTTAGACGCTCTCCCTTCGCCTTCACAAAGGGGAGATCGGCAACTAGTGTCACCGCCGCGGTCCCGTCAGTCGACACCGGCACCGACGATGACACCATCGCCGACGCCGTCGCCGTCGCCGACACCACCGACACCACCGACACCTCGTCAGGCTCAAAATGAAGATCAGGAGCAGGAGCATCAGCAACAAGAGCAACGACGTCGGCAGCACGAGGTCGATAATTTTAATTATATAGATTTACGGGCGGAAAACTCGCAGCAATTTAGGAATCTCGCGATTCTATGGAGAGAGGCGACTTTCGCGATACGGCCGCCACCTGAAGGTAGCGATATCGCTCAATGGCTAGAAAACGCGTTTCGTGAAATCTGAACGTATGTGGTACATTCGAGCGATTACGTCGGGTTATCGTTTGAGTAGGCTGATCTAGCGCGTGGCCCAGCGGGATTGTCGTTTCGTCCAGCACGCGACCTAACCCACGAAGACATATGGGGGCTCGTGAGTTCGTTGGCGCAAAGTGCTGGAGGAATCGATATCGCGGAAAATTTCACGGTACGCGTTTTCAGAATTTCGTTACCTACCGGTCGCGGACGTCAGTCCAATCGATTAACGCGCGAAGACGTAGCCAAACCCTCAATTTTACAAATTGCCAATTCCGACAATTTATGTTTTCCCCGTTCGCTTGTAGCGGCACGCATACATTACGATCGCGGGCAGTTACGCGTGGGGAAATTACATGAAAGATGGGAATCCGTGAGACAGCAGCGTTCTTCTTTACAACGTGAGTTGGCTAAAAATAAACGATTTCTGCGGGTATCACGATTTCCGAGGAGGGATGCGGAATTCGTGAAATTGAGCAATTTCAACGGTTTCTCCCTGCGGAAAATATCGCGATAGTTGTTTACAATTTCAGTACTTTTGGTCGCGGCGAGAATCCGTTGTACGACGGCTGCGCGTTACTCTCCCCCCTTAGGTCGTGAACCTTTATTCCGTTTAAATACCAGGTGTGTAAATATGAAATCGGAATTTTTTAATAGAAAATACACGTTTATTGCACGAAAATGATAAAAAATATTTTATTCGAAGTATTGCCCATCGCTAGCTATACGTTTTTCCCACCTGTCTGACAATTAGTGGATGCCACGTCAAAAAAATTGTTGCTCTTTTGAGCCAAATCAGTCATCAGCCATTTTCGTACATCTTCGTAAGAAATGAAGCGCTGCTGAGCAAGTGCGTGTCCCATCGATGCAAATAAGTAGTAATCGGACGAAGCCAAGTCTGGTGAGTAAGCCGCATGCGAAAGTATTTCCCAACCAAACGCCGCAATCGTTTCCTTGACCAGTTTTGCTGTGTATGATGGTGCATTAACATGAAGCAAAATCACTTTGTGTTGCCTTTTTTGATATTCCAGTCATTTTTCAAATTGATCATTTGTTGTCGGTAGCGTTCAGTATTAACGGTTTCGCCGTTTTAACAGCTCATAATAGATCACACCTTTCTGATTCCACCAAACACAGAGCATTGTCTTCCGTCCATAACGATTTGGCCTTGCAGTCGATGTCGATGGTTCGCCTGGAGTTACCCATGATCTTTTACGCTTAGAATTCTCAAAATATATCCACTTTTCATCGCCAGTCACAATTCGATGGGGAAATGACTTTCTTTTGTACCTGGTGAGCAGCATTTCGCAAGTGGTTTTTCGGTTTTCCTGCTGTCTTTCATTCAATTCATATGGAACCCATTTTCCCATCTTCTGGATCTTTTCCATGGATTTCAAACGTATGGAGACGGCTTCTCGTGTTACATTCAATTGGTCCGCGAGTTGTTGAGTTTGAGCGTCATTCTCATCCAACAATGCTTGCAATTCACTGTCTTCAAACTTTTTCGGTGGTTTTTCCACGTTCTTCGTTTCTCACGTCAAAATCGCCACTTTTGAATTTTTTAAACCATTCAAAGCACTGTGATTTACCAAGAGGATGCTCACCGTAAGCTTCGACAAGCATTCGATGGGATTCTGCAATAGTTTTCTTCAAATGGTAACAGAAAATCAATGCTGTCCGCAAATCGTAATTTACTAGCACAAAATTCGACATGTTCAACGCTATTACAAACTATACTATTGTATGAAACTTGTATTGTTGTGAGTTGAAAATCTTTGTCAGATATCAAAACAAGGAAATGGCGTCAATGACGCGGCATCTACATTGACAGCTGTGGCCATCTATCGGTAAATTCCGGTTTCATATTTACATACCTGGTATTATGTATTACGAGCGTTCGAGGTATTAGCAACCAATTTTAAACATGAAAGCCGCTGCCGGTTCTCGAGGGGGGTATTGCGTGATGTGCAACACCGGAACGGTAGAGAGCATCGTTGCGCGAAATAATGTCCGCGATGTTACGCGATTTCGTCGTGCGAGGGTTCCGGCGCGGAGTTGGTTAGGTGCGATTCGTGTAATCGTACTTTCTTCGAAAATCCCTGTTTCGAGCGTCATCGTGCGGAAAGATCTCACGACGGAAAATCGTACACAAGCGTTTGCAAATCCGTTAGAATTTGCAACGACTGCGGACGCTTCGTGAAATCGAATTTGCGTCACGATTGCGACGTTATCTGTAGTAAAATTTGTCACTCGTTGCAAACTTCGAATCATTCTTGTTACATATAGCCTCTTCGTCGTAAAGTCACAGTCGAAAACCTCGGAGAGGGAACGAGTGCTGGGACAATGCGAGAAGAGAACCAGGTAAACGACGAGAATGACGTCGAAAGTGCGAATGATGCGCGAAGTAAAAAAGATCGCGTCGCATTCGTGTTCTATGACTTCGAAACCCGACAAGACGAAACGCTCGAAGGAATGGAGAACGTAAAAATACACATACCGACTCTTTGCGTCGCGCAACAAATTTGCGAAACGTGCGCGGAAATACAAGAAATGTCGACGCGATGTTGTTGGTGCGTGAATTTGTTTTTCGCAATGATCAGGTAAAAGAATTTGTAGATTTCGCAACGCGAACGTCAAAATATTTTAACAAAATAATTTGTATCGCGCATAATGCGAAAGCGTTTGACGCTCAGTTTATCTTAAAATGCATCGTAGAACAATCTGGCATAACTCAAGAACCACGGGTGATTTTGAACGGAACGAAAATTATCATGATGACGGTCGATAACACGAAATTTATTGATAGCTCAAATTATATGCCGATGCGATTATCTGATTTATCTAAGGCTTTCGGACTGCAGGATACATCAGGTAAAGGCATCTTTCCTCATTTATTCAATAGAAAAGAGCATCAAGCATATATCGGACCAATACCTAGCGCACAGTGTTATTCGCCCAAACAAATGAAACCCGAGGAACGCGAGCCTTTTATAAAATAGCACGACTATATGATACAATCCGGCTTCATTTTTGATTTTCAACGCGAAATAGTCAAATATTGTCGTAACGACGTAGACATCCTTCGACGGGCGTGCTTGGTTTTCAGGAAAATCTTTCTTGAACGCGGGAGCGTGTGTCCGTTCGTGGAATGCACAACTATCGCTTCTACGTGTATGAAAGTTTTTCGCAGAAACTTTTTACGCGGGGAAGAAATAGGAGTCATTCCAGCAGGCGGATACAGATATAGAGATAATCACTCGCGCAAAGCCGTGCAGTGGTTGGTGTGTATGGAGCGTGAGCTCAATCAACGGATAAGCCACGCGGGGCGAGGACGCGAGTTTCGGATTGCCGGTACGCCCGTCGATGGATATTACGAAACTGATTTGGAGAACGAGACGTTACGTGTTACAATTCCACGGATGCTTTTGACATGGGTGTCCATCATGGTTCCGAATAAATCGCGAAAGAAAACTCAATTCTTCCAGCGATCATGGCGATACGATCGACATGCGCTACGAGCGAACTCGCGCAACGACATGGCGTCTTCGACGACGGGGATACCTGGTGATGGAGAAATGGAAGTGTGATCTCGACCGGGAAATACGTGAGAATAATGAGATGCGCGATTTTCTCGAAAATGCTCCGATAATAAAGAACTCACCTCTCGATCCGCGCGATGCATTTTTCGGTGGCCAAACGGGGAATATAGCAATCCGATGCGATGTTGCGGGAACAGAGAAAATACGTTACATAGACGTATGCTCTCTGTATCCCTATACTGAAAACTATATTATACTATACTGAAAACGGGTGTTTTCCGATCGGTCATCCAAAGATCTACATCGGAGAGGAATGTTCCGAGTTAATAGGCGTAGCTCCGGATTTCGATTTCAACTCGCTCGAAGGACTCATTCGTTGTAAGGTACTCCCTCCGCGCGATCTCTTTCATCCGGTACTCCCGTATCGCGTACGTGGCAAATTGTTGTTCGCGCTGTGTCGGAGTTGCTGCGAAACGTTCTCGCAAGCTGAGTGTACTCATAGTCTCGCCGAGCGTGAATTCGAGGGTACCTGGGTATCCTGTGAATTACGCAAAGCCGTCGAGAAAGGTTATCGCGTGTCGGAAGTGAGAGAAATTTGGTAATACAAGGTCACGCGATATGATCCCGATACGCGGCAAGGTGGATTGTTTACCGGACATGTCAATAGTTTTTTGCAATTGAAGCAGGAAGCTAGCAGATGGCCGAACGAATGCGTGGATGACGAAGCTAAGGAGCGATATCTTCGGGAATACGAGGAAACCGAGGGTATCGTTCTCGATAAAAATAACATCGCTCGAAATCCAGGTCTACGTTCGGTTGCAAAGCTCTGCTTAAATTCCTTTTGGGGAAAATTCGGTCAACAATCCAATTTGCCTAACACCGAGATCGTGAAAAATTACCAGCGATTAACAGCTTTGCTCACGAGTCCAGAACACGAAATAACCGATATATTACCCGTCAACGACGAGGTAATATATGTCTCGTGTAGATTGCGAGAAGAAGCGGTCGTAGCTTCTCCGCAGACCAACGTCGTGATCGCGGCATTCACGACAGCGCTGGCGCGGTTGAAATTATACAAACATTTATCACCGAAAAAATTTTATTCTAGATTTCAGTATATCCGACTAAACTACAGAATGTTTTCTACTAAAATACGCGCCAAGTATATATTATAAAAATTAGAGGATTTCCCTCTAATAT